CTGTGTGTGAAAAAGGTCATAGAGGTGTGATTTCGATTTCTTTTTCGTCTATTATTGCTCTTAGAGTTAGGGATTAAGGTTTATCCATAACATTCTCCGGTGCCATTTTTAGTACTTCTTCCAACTTAATATTTTCCTCTCCTTTTATGCATTGTCCGATTCTTGATCCCTTGCATTTTATTCTTAACATGGTCAGGCTGTGGTGACAATGTTTAACTTCCAACAATATCGTCACATTCAAGCACCAGGTTGGACTTTGGGATGGACGTGGGCGAAGAAGGAGGTGATATGGAGCATGATGGGTGCCCAAACAACAGAGCAAGGAGATTGTTCGAAGTATAAAGGGAATATTCCACATTGCTGTAAAAAAGATCCAACGGTTGTTGACCTACTGCCTGGAACTCCATATAACCAACAGATTGCAAATTGTTGCAAAGGAGGGGTAATTAATTCATGGGTCCAAGATCCGTCCAATGCTGCAAGCTCATTCCAGGTTAGCGTTGGTGCGGCTGGAACCACCAACAAAACTGTTAGAGTGCCGAAGAACTTCACTTTGAAAGCACCAGGGCCAGGCTATACTTGTGGACCTGCAAAAGTAGGGAAACCTACGAAGTTTGTCTCCCAAGATGGGAGAAGACAGACACAAGCAATGAGTAAGTTATTTCAAATATAGTGTCTCTATTAGTTGAAGATAAAATAAAATTTAAAAAAGAAAAAATGTAAATCTATCCTCTCTTTAGCAGCTTAAACATTTAAATGAGGTGGTTAAATCCACGCTGCATCTGATTAGGCATGTTGAAGACAAATATAAATAAATAAATTCGTCTACTCTCTTAGATCATAAGCTTAGAATTAGATGATGTGGTTCAACACTATGTTTGCATATATTGTTGATTTTGACCTTCAAAGGCGGGGGTGGAAAAATTATGTAGTCCTCGAGCTTGCGGATATTATAAAATGCATATATGAGAATTCAGATAATTAAATCTTAGACTTTTTTTTTTTTGTTGTGAATTATAATTGATAATATGGAAATATTATCGTTTAAAAACTGCTGCCTGTTTTGTCTTGCATATATTCTATTTTCACAATGCCAATACCATATAAGGTGTCAAAAATTTGCCCCTATTTATTTTTCTTTTATACATTAGAACCATTGAGAGCCTTCTCAACCTTCTCCTATTGCAGTGACATGGAATGTTACATGCACATATTCACAGTTTCTGGCCCAAAAAACTCCGACTTGCTGTGTCTCACTCTCATCCTTCTACAACGATACTATTGTTCCATGCCCAACTTGCACTTGTGGATGCCAAAATAATGGTACTCAGCCGGGAAGTTGTGTGAAGTAAGCCTTTCAATTTTCTATCTTCTTTAGATTTGTCTGTCGACTTTTCTGCTGGTTCTTATGCATTTTCTACTTGCAGTCCTGACATGCCACACCTTGCTTCAGTTGTTTCAAACCATGGGAAGAATAATTTTGCACCTCTAGTCCAATGCACCAGCCATATGTGCCCCATTCGAGTCCACTGGCACGTCAAACTGAACTACAAGGACTACTGGAGGGTGAAGGTTACAATTACGAACTTCAATTACAGGATGAATTATACGCAGTGGAACTTGGTCGTGCAACATCCCAATTTCGACAATCTAACTCAGTTATTCAGCTTTAACTACAAGCCATTAACTCCTTATCAAGATATAAGTAAGTCATTTTTAAAATTTGCTGATGGTCTCTCTATTTTTTTTTCTGGGTAAAACACACTGATCATAACGAACTTTTAGCAAAATTTCATATCAGTCATTAGATTTCATTTAGTTTCTAGTTGGTTGTTAGATCACTGAACAACAAAGTTTGTTTCCATTTGATCATTCTGCCCATGTCAGTTAGTTTGACCAATGAAAACGGACAGACAAGTCTGTCACATTACCCTGTCCATTAGTCAAAACTGAATTAATATGGATGGAGTGACCTAATTATAACAAATTTTTAAATTCAATGACCAACTTGAAACAAAATGAGTTTAGAGAACAACATGAAATTTCACTAAAAGTTTAATAATTACTAATCTGGGAAGTATCGACATGGACATGAGTGTCGGATGCAACAAGACCTGGATACATCAACATGCAATTTTTAAAGAAGTACCGACACGTCCTCGACACCCTAATTAAAGTAATATTATCATTATTTTTTCATTTTTTATATTTTACTTTTATATTTTTTATGTTGTAAAGTGTATTTGTTTAATTAATTCTAGCATGTCGGCAATTTATCTCATAGCATGTCAACAACATGTCCAATTATACACAAAAAAAAATTAAGTTGGACACGTAAATTGCCTTTTCCGATGTCGTGTCGGTGTCTCGCCGGTGTTGATGCAGCCTAGCCACCAGTGTACTTAACCCCCCCACCCCCTTCATTAATTCCTTGCTATCCACTAGTTCACTGGGAGACTGGGAACAAAATCAATCTAATATTTTGCTTTCTGTTGAAACAGACGATACTGCGATGTTATGGGGTGTTAAATTTTACAACGATTTGCTTTCGCAAGCTGGTCCTCTAGGAAATGTGCAGTCGGAGCTTCTATTCCAAAAGGACAAATCTACTTTCACATTTGAGAAAGGTTGGGCCTTTCCTCGAAGAATCTACTTCAATGGTGACAACTGTGTCATGCCACCTCCTGATGCATATCCATATCTACCAAATGCCGGTTTCCGCCCAGACGTCTCCTTGCTTGTGCTGGCGATCACTTTGTTGTCATCTGTTGCATTCCACTTCGTACGTATTTAAGAACTTCTCCATATCAATTTGTGAAGCACATCAATTCTATCTGGAAAATGGAGCAAGTTGAAGAATTTACGGACCCAAGCAATGTCATTTGTATATCCGCGGATTACAGGCACTAATTTGTAAGCAAAAATGTCCCTTTTTACTTTAATTGTTGGCAAATTGATTTCCATATTTTCTCGTTCCATACAAACATGTTTTTACCTGTGTTTCAAATCATGTTGTTTATAGAGTTTATTTATTTAGTCCATAGTGTTCACTAGAATTGTAATAAGAATAAGAATAAATTCATAAATTATATAGCTGATTTCAAATACATCTTTGAATTTTGGTTACCCAGCTTCTAAATTCTATTTTGTTCTCGATCATCTTGTCATATTTTATGTAGGCATAGCAAATTGCTCTCCTTTTCTTTCATGCTGCTGAATGTTGAGAAAACATCGCACACACATTAAAAATTGCGATTTGGGGGCATATTTGGTCATCAGACACTTTGAAAATTGCAATTTTGGGAACATGTTTGATACACAATATTAGATAGGAGCGGGCAGTATTAAGCCCTGTTTGACATCCATTAAATCAAAGTTCTTTTTTTTTTTTTCCAAAACTCATTTTCAACCACACATTCACCCATTAAAATATTTGCACGTAAATCCAACATTTTTTTATTACAACCACACATTCACACATTAAAATATTTGCACGTAAATCCAACATTTTTTTTTATTACTTTTTAACAACATTTTTCAAAAAATCACACCCAGAAAAAGTAACTCTTTTTAATGGATGTCAAACAGGGATGTAAGAAAAAGACTTGTTCATTGTCTTGGGTAATTCTGCACACCAGTTTATTTGTTTTCATGAATCATAAGCTGCATTGATATGGCTAGAATTATTGAAATGTGTACCAGCTTCCGGTTTATTGGGAGATTTTTTTGGTTTCAAACTGTGAATTGGATTAACAAATAATTGCTTGAGCTACTAAAATCCTGCATAATGGAGATATCGTTGGAGAGGTGACAAAACCATATATTTCAATACCATCAAAAGGAATTTAGAACACCAGAAAAAGCAACACTGATAGTTGTTTAGAAAAACCATATCTAAGTACTGAGCTCAAAGTTCTACCATAATATATCTTTCTTTGATAGAAGTTATTCAATATATGAATTACTATGGAGGAGACCATTTGGCATCAGGATACATGAATGGATTTGAATAAAAGTAATGTGTAAAATCTTGTATAGATATACTGAATTTATATGTATTTTAGACCCTTTATACTTGAATGAAAAATAATTCTGCTTTATCCCATCATATCCACTACCATCTATGACAAAGATAGATTCACCAGCATAGCATTCACAAATACTTCACAATATCTTATGATTCAAATACTAAAATTTAACATCCAAGTCATCATGCAAAAATAACTGTCAAAATCCAAAAATCTTGAAATCCAAACATGGAGATCAGAGGCTGTCTATTTGTAAAAGATGTAGAACTTACACAGGGCTTGAATCTTGCCGGGAGGAAACTGGATTTTGCACATGGACTCGAATAATAGTCTTTCATGAACTCACAGTTTCATCGCCAATATGCACTCAGAAATGTGGGATTTTTCCCTTCCAACTTGAGTAGTCTCTCTGTTTAGTGGGTATAAAGACTTGGTTTGGTGGATATAAAGACTTAGGTGTTTGGTGTTGAGGGTAATTTAAATAAATGGATGCCTATTTTGTCTTAATAATTAAGCTTTTCGGTGAGGCGAGGAAGGCAAATTTCTAAGTTCAACTCTTGTCATTATAGATGTGTACTGTCGCTGTCAGGTATTTCATGAAAAATGAATCCAACCTGTAGGTAAGGGAACTAATTGAAGACAATTCAAGAAAAGAAAATTTTCAGTTCTCTGACGGTTTAAATTTTTAGATGAGGTGGTTTAACAATGATATGTTTGTATAAACTTACGAGAGATTCCCGTTAATAAATACTATCAATCAATTTCATTGGAACGCGTTAGAAGAGGGGGAGAGAGAGGTTAAAACTAACGTGATCAATTGTAATTGTTATAGACGTTTCAATGATTATCATAATGAATCGACTGGAGTGGTGAAAAAGAATGTGTAACTGTTATAGATGGAAAATATGAGAAGTGTAAAGTAAGAGGTTTTAGGAGTGTTTTGAGATGCTTTACCTACTGGTAGTTGGATGCTAGGGATATGGTGTTGTGTCACTTTTGTCTGTTATATTGTGCTGCAACTAGACTAGTTTTCTGTATCTTGAAGCAAAGATTTTGTGAAATGAGGAACATGCAAGAGAATTTTTAATATTCCAATTTAATCAATAAAGTATAATTAGCGATCAATAACACATTTCTGAATGTTGGTCATACTTTTAACAAGGGTATTGGGCCAACGGGCTTTTGTAGTCGAGGACAGTAATGCCACTTGTATATAATTATTTACAGATTAAGGACAGAAAACAAAAAAGAAGTAGTTTGGAAGAGAGAGAGAGAGAGAGAAAATAAAAAAATAAGAGAAGGAAACAAGTTAAAGTTTAATATAATGCCATTTCATCAATATATAAATAATTATCCACTAATAAAATTATTAACAAAAATATTTTTCATGGTCCATGTAGACTGAGAAATGCTTTGCACGTTCGGCTAGCAAGTTCGACTAGAAGCCAGACTCGGTATGTTACATGGCGTACTTTACATTCTTAAGTATCACTTCGGGTAATCATGGCCCATGTTATCAAGTCGAAACACCTCAAATTACTTGGGGCCTGACAAAGCCCAATATGACTTATATTGGGCTATGATTTTTGACACCTCTAATATCAAGAGCCCGTTTGAATCCCCCCCCCCCCCTTTTTTTTTCTTTTTGAGTAAAATGCATTTTAAAATAATAGATTGATAGAGAATTAGTAGTTAAAAAATAAGGAAATGTTTAGAATTTGTGAAAAATTATTTTATTAGAGAATGTGTGGTTGAAAAAAAGAAAATGTTCCATTATACGTTTGAAAAAAATAAGCCCAATATGACTTATATTGGGCAATGCTCCATCTTAGACGCGAAGCTGGTACCAGAGAGCAACAGCGTCGTTGCTAATGCTGCAACAGGCGCGGAATTGATGCCGAAGAAAAAATGGGGGCTGATTTCGGGTTTTTTGGGTGATTTCTTCCTATTCAAATCTAATATGCTTTAGCAAGAGTCTTGTGGTTGTTTTTTGTCGATTGTTGGTGGTAAGGTAGTGGTGGTGCTCGTGGTTGTGGTATTTGGATCCAACAATGACAGAGGGTATGTTGGTAGTGGCGATGGTGGTGGTCTTGTAATGATTGTGGTTTTTGGCAACGATGCGGCTGGTAACAGTGGTGAGATGATTGTCATAAGTGTTGACGGTGGTAAAAATTGATTTGGTTGACTGTGACTAATGAAAACGATAAATTTTGATCAAGAAATGATGTGTGACCTAAAAAATTATTAATTTGTGACCAGTAATTTGTTAATTTGTGATTGTATAATAAATTGTGATTTATAAATTTGTGATTTTTAATCGATAAATAAATCGTAACTTATAATTTTCTGATTTGTGATCGACAAATAAATTGTGATCTATAAAATTTTTGAATTGTGACTATAAAATAATTTGTGATATAAAATTTTTGATTTGTGACAAAAAATAATAAGTGACTAAATAAATCGTTTATTTGTGACCTAAATATATTTAATTAATAAATAAATAAATTAAATCATAAATAAATTTTAATAAAAATTTGATTTTTCAAGTGTTTTCTTGCTTTTTGAACTGTGCGATACTTACTGAATTATGAATTTTTCCCCTCAAACGATCATGTACCAAATTTATTTGGCTCCTCTAGCAAGCCCATTTATCAAATCAGAAAAGGCCCAAGTTTTTCGTTTGGGTATTGGCGGTCCACCACGTCTGGTGTGGGCAGCATTAAAAGCAAACTTATTAGTAATAGGAAAAATAGCATTATTGTAGTAATTTTTTTTTTTTCCCTTTTTTCTAGCAGTGATCTTGGACTTATATGAACCTTTTCTTGTGCTCCTCCTGAAGTGGCTTGACAAATTTATTTTTTTATTTTATTATTATTTTTTTTTTTGGGAAAAATTTGAACTATCATAATTTAAATTTACGTTTTCACATTTATCAAATGTTGAGAAAAAGTGTGCAGAAATTAGGTCATAATTCACAATTTTTTAAGAAAAAAGATAATAGTGGTAAGATAAGAATTGTGATGAAAGAATTAAGTTGTTTGTACAGTATGATGTACAACTCCTCACATGAGAGGGGCTCACCATGAATAAGAAAAATCGTGGATACACCATGCTATATATGTAGCATTTCTTGTGATCAAAAGTAGTGGATATACAAGGATAAAATATATAGACATTTTTTATCTCACCATATTCTATTCTAAATTTTAGTAGAGTGATTTTTCTCTTTCGTACTCATTTATGCTACCATTTGTGTACATTAACAAAAAGCGATTGTGGCCAGATTGACATTGTTTATCTCTTAATTTTGTTTTTATCGAGATATATGGGTAACAATTTAGGGTATGTTATGACCTCTAGTAAGATTGTCCATGTGACTACTGAAATGACAAGTTAGATTTTGTGACCTTCATTGTGTAATCCCTTATGCTAATTTGTATTTTTTTTTATTTTTTTATTTTTTTGTCCATGTCTTTATTTGTATAAATTATATTTGTGCCCGCTGTAGCTTATACCCCTATGTGATTTGGCATGTAGTTTTTGTGACTCATTTTCCTTCTAAAATTGTGATGAATATGTAAGAAGGGTCAACTTTGACGTATGTCTCGTCCTTTACAGTGATTCAAATGTGATTAGAGAGCTTCTTGTCATTGAGTTGTGAAATTTGTGTTAAGTTGTGTATCATAATTATTGTTGAGCCAATACACAGATCGACATCGAAGGTGAGGTCGCCGTAGGCGTTGAAAGAGACCAGAATTAAACTTTCATTAAGGATAGTTTAGGGATTTGTTTCCTACTAAGTTTAGATTTTACCCTAATTTGTCTTGTAAATAGGAGCCGTCATCATTAGTCTTTGGATTACTATCATAAAAAGAGAGAGGGTTAGAGAAGATAGGGTATTTGATTTTCTCTTGTAAAACTTCTTTTTATCATAGCGAACTACTACAGCGGCAGAAGATGACGGAATCTCACATGATGCGAGTTTAAGTCTTATGTTCTCGTGTCTTTTTCTTTCTAAAAATCTATTGCTTTCGGTGAAATATGATTAGATTTTGTAATTCTCAACAATCAGTATT